AGGACTGCTTTAATCATCAAGACTACAAGTACCCTTGTGGACCGACGCTGTCATTATACTTGATAGATCAAGTCCACGGACACGTTAGGTATAGACACGTGAGTGGGCAGAAGAGTGAAGCTAGCGGCACATTCGTCTCCTGGCTGAAGTGATCCTAGAATCGGCCTCGTGATTTTGAACATTCTTGAACTTGCACAAGGGCAATTCTAACGTATTTCTGTAATCTTCTTTGATGGATTACTGATTGTTATTATCCAAATAGTATAAATCAGAGAGAAAAAAAGACAGTTCGCCTGGGTCACAAATATCTCTAAGAAATTCTCTTATTTGACATACAAGACACCCAAGAATGATTTCAGTCATACCAAGGACATAGTATATAATGTCCTTGGTCATAGAAGACTTTTGCGAGTTCTGGCAATATTTCAGTTTTAGAACATTTCCCTGGGTTTTTGGTGTTCAAAGTTTCACCTTCCAAAATTCCACTTTTTATCACATCAGTGTTGGATGTTATACCAAGGTGAAATAAATAATATTGTGTAGAATATGATATCTGTACCTGTATGTAACGTTTATGCAAACTGTTATTAAAACGGCGCAATTCAGACATTGTTCTGCGAGGTCGTTGCTCCCAACCGTTGTGCTCACCAAATAAACACCATTTCTTACTACGAGAAAACAATCACTTCTAAAATCAAAGAACCCTCATATAATAGGAGACATTATTAAATTCGTCCCTACTGCCTTAAAAGAAGAAGTCCAACCCAGCAAAATTAGTACCAGGTACATGTATGTTGTAGAATGTAGCACAACGTTAGACGTAGTCTCATATGTCATACTTTTTTCATACATGTTGTTTGTACTTGCAATTAGACTTCGGGTATGTATTTGCAATAATAAACTTCACATGTACATATCATCATGATCGCAAAACGTACGTAACCGGGCCCTATTACCTAGCCTGGTTACCAAACCTATTATAGCTCCCGAGTCCTACATCCTCTCCGCAAATTCGTTGGGAATCAACCAGGTCCAGACCTATTTGCGGAGAGGATGTAGGACTCGGGAGCTATAATAGGTTTGGTAACCAGGCTACCTATTACCCATGTGCCTGTATGTTTAAGAAGTGCATGCTGTTACACGTGAATGCCTGACACGTGTATAGCTGAGTAGAATCCACGCGCCCATGTTCGTGTACCCATGATCTTGAACACGTTTCCAAGGCCTCGTGTTACTAACACACGGGTTCGATCAAGGTCAGGGTTTCTCACGTTTTTCACTCTCTGGCCATGGACCTGACAAACTTGATTTCGCAGACGATAAACCGTGCTTGGCTTTGTAACATCAGAGTTCCAGCCAGTATACTACGTCCAAAGCTGCCAAGTGGGCCAAAGCGCACCCTCCCCCTTCATGCCCGTAGCCAGGATTTTGAATGGGGGGGGGGGTCTTCCCACTGCTTGAGGGGACCTCGAGCGGCGTAGGCGCGAGGTTCCTAGGGGGGGTCCGGGGGCATGTTCCCCCGGAAAATTTTGAAAAATGAACCTTCTAAAATGGAATTTCGTGCATTTTTGAGAGGATTTCCAATAAAAAATCAGAGATAAATTTTTATTCAATGACAAAGGGAGCAGTTTTTGTACGATTCCAGTCCATCTTTTCAAGAAAAATCTTGGACCTTTACATAAAAAGTGGACCAAAAAGTGGACCTTTACATAAAAAGTGGACCAAAAAGTGGACCTTTTAGCCTTGTGTGTGTGTGTGTGTGGGGGTCTTCCGAACCCCCCTGGCTACGGGCATGCCCTTCCTCGGTCAAAAACCTATCTCCAAACAGATCTTTTGGTGGCTGCAAGACAGTATCAAATTGGCAGTGCAGTATTATTGGCAGGGCAGCACCTAATATGCTATCAGCTGAAGAAAAAAAGATGCCAGTACAAAAAAGAAAGCCAAACAAAAATGCCTAAATATAAAACACGTACAAAAATTAGCCGAAGCCTAAATCTATGCTTCGCGAATTGGAGGGTAGTTTAAACTGCGTACTTCATATTCGCTTAGGCCACACCAAGTAAATCTTATGGATGACGTCCTTTGGAGACCCTAAATCTAATGCGAGAGAGCGAAAAAAACTAGAAGGGCCCTAAAAAACAAGATGCCTAGATCAGAAATATACTAAGAGACGACAAATGTTAGGAAAAATAAAAGTCTTTTATTCATCATCAAAACAGCAATAAATCAGGTGGAACAGCAGTTGTCATCCTGTCCTGTTTTCACGTTACGGGTTTCACGTCAATCTGACGATTTGCGGCACTGCCTTGACTCTTTGGTCATAGTTACAGGAAGCGGAATTTCTTGTTTTTTTTTTTCTAGGAACAGGCCAAAATCAATGCGCGCGCGGACGTCATCCATAAAATTTACTTGGTGTGGCCTTACCTTCCTTTGAGAAGTTCATGTTGACAGGTGTAGAACGGAAGTTGACAGTCAATTTTGCAGCCTTGTCGCAACAGGAAATTGTCACCGAGTACCGTTTAATGTTATTGTCATAACAAATGTATACATCCTCACGTAGCGTATACTAATAGGTCAGTAACCTGTCTTGCCCTAGCCTTCTTACGGAGGTACGGATTGTAGAAATCGGAAAAAAATAGAATATTTGGTCAGGAGAGTCAGTCCGCAGGCAAACAACTTTACGGTGGCTAAACTCCCCGGTCAATTATGCTCCATATTTCTCTAAAATTTACTCTTTGAACCCGCGTTGGTAGTTTGGTGGAGACTAAACAAATCGTACTTCAATATTCATTTATCAGTTCAACTCTCTTTCTCTCTCTCTCTCTCTCACTCACTCACTCTCTCTCTCTCACTCACTCACTCACTCACTTACTCACTCACTCTCTCTCTCTCTCTCACTCACTCTCTTTCTCTCTCCCCCTCTCTCACTCACTCTCCCTCTCTTTCTCTTTCTCACTCACTCTCTCTTTCTTTCTATCTCTCTCTCTCTCTCTCTCTCTCTCTCACTCACTCACTCTCTCTCTCTCACTTCATCATCTAGCTTTCCAGATGTTGTTGATGGATCTGTATGATATTTGGCTTCCGGGTAGGTGTTTGCAAAATGAAGGACAACATTTTATTATCCCTTTCATTAACGTGTTGTCAAAATTACCTGCACCAGCGGAAAACACGGAGTCCTTGGTCATGGAATCATTTCAGGACCATCCGATTGTTCCACCAAGTCAATAATATCAGATTCAATTACTGTACCCCTGTGGGAGATAATACGTAAACGGTGTACCTAGAAATCGGAGAAGGACAAGATCCATTTCATTCAGTTTTTTTTCCTTCAACTAAAACACATTATCCTTCCATAGGGAGGGACCTCGCTACTTGCAATGTAAGTCCTTCGGGAAAAATTGCGATAAAACTGAATTGATGCCCCCCCCCCCACACACACACACACAAAACGTGGTAGTGATGTTACGAAGGTTATACCGTAAATTGTTTTATCTTCACAGACGTCTATGTTATGAGTTACGAGTAACCTCCAAACAGATACTATGGTGGCGAGACAGTATCCATTGGTCAGAGCAGGTGGGTCAGAGGACTAACCGTTAGCCACCGGGATATGGTCACTCTGGGCAATGGATACTGTTTTGCCACCGTAGGATCTGCTTGGAGAATTTACGTTAAATAAGAATCGTTTAATATAATATCAGAAAGAGCATAATGTTTGTGGTAAGAGGTCCCTGCCACTATATACGAGTACCACCGCATTCATTTCACGATTTACAGTAATTTCCTACACAATAGAACCTGCTGACACTGAACAAGTTCCCACTGTGTAACTTCTGTCTTCCGTAAGTTTCCAAACATGCCGAGAATGTGCAAAGGGTGAGGCGGGCCTAGTAGCATGAAACCGCTGTACATGTCGGCCGCCTTTTCGCTGCCGTTCCGTGTCGTCAGTATTTGCACAACATGCGACTGCGGTATGCCTCTCTTTGTAAGTGTTCTGTCTCGGGTGTAGGAAAATAACAGAAGAAGAAGACTGGTAAAGAAAACCATGAAGCCATAGCACCCAACCCAGATATCCATCGATATTTTGAACTAAGTCCCCAACAGACTTCCTTGGTGGACAAATACGGTAATGTCTCACGGTACAAATTCGTCCCAAAATTGCACAAAACATTGAACGAAACACGAACCTTATACCAGCATATGCTTGAAGCTAGGGAAAGACATCTCTGAATTTTATACTTCACTTATCTTAAGGCAGAGTATGGAATTGGCAAGACAGTATCAAATTGGCCAGGCAGTATCTATTTGCCACCCGAGGGTGACATTTTAGCATAAAAAGATACCAGTACAAAACTTAAACCCGACCAAAACGCTTAAAACGACGTCAAAAATAAGTCGAAGCTTAAACCTCTGCTTGGAGAGAGTAATATTTCATCTTCTTGAATTGACTGAGGACGGGTCACATCTGCTTGTTCCCGATGCACAACTTGTTAGCTAGCCACCAACATGCCTGTAATATTTTTGGCTAGCACCCTCAAATAAAGGTTTATGATTGGATGATAGATTAATTGCTTTATTCCTCCTAAATCTTCGTTGGCCAGGCCAAGCCGTGAAGGTGTTTTGTAGCTCGGTCTCCGACATGGGACCCTGCCACGCTGTAACCTGATATCCCTCTGACGTCACCACAGTTTCTCGGTTGCGGAGGAGGAACTTCCGGTCTTCCACGTACTGCGGGGTTAAAGTTCGGGAAGGGCTATGCAAGGATATCTTAAGAAACCGTGTATCTACACACAATGTAGGATACCAGGTCTACCAAAAGATTACGATCACATCAATTAAACAAGAATATAAACCATTTGTTAACTACAAATTACGAAGACAAAAGCAAAGAAAGAACAAGGATTCTGTGTTCTAAAATGATAGTATGAGTGTTCTTGAAAACTCCTTCTGAGCCCCACGTCCTAGAACATGTAGTCTATTTTAGGCACGCACGTATAAAACCCGACAAGCGGCGCTGTCCCGCTCAGTTCTGACTCAGACTTCCAAAGAGAAACTTCTCCGTGAAAAAAGTGAATCATACTTTCTAACTTTCGAACTTAGACCGACAAAATTTTGACTTCTAACGAGAATGCCTGAAGACCGTGCCATGCCGAACCCTCTGACCGAAGAGTGCGGGTGCTGCCGGGCGGGGCTGGGCCGCTGCTGTGCCGGGGAGCCCACCAAGTCCGGCTGGCTCCACCTGTCCAAGCCCGACAGCCCGACCTACAGACAGCGGGTGGTGGTGAAGGTGTACAGTAAACCACTGGACCCGTACGCAGTGGTGTTCAGCGGCAAGACCTACGGGAAACAGTACGGATTCTTAAAACTTCGACACGTAAGGTAAGAAAGCGTTGTTGTTTACACCTATTCTACTCAAAGGGGGCCTCTTTAAAAAATTGGTCCTGCCAGCATTCGTCGTACAATAGAGCTACGGCAGCAAAACTTGGGGACATTCTTTTGGAACAGTTGTGAATGTGTCGTACGAACTTCAGTTGCCCTGCTTCTGGTTGTCGTAGAGTCTTGTCGGCCGTCGGTTCTGTCAAAAGCCTGGCTGAAAATATCGTACGCCGAAAAAGTCGTACGAAATAAATGTGGGACTTATTGTAAACCTCAATAGTACACAGCAGTCCAAGTACTGAAGTTCCTTATTGAGTTGCCGCAGCTACTCTACGGTATTCTTTTTTCTGTGATAAACATGTTAGAAATTTTACGGTAGAGATTGTGTTCAAAACAAGGTGTAGAATTAGCTAGTCCTTTGAGAGAATGACCTCCATTATTGCTTCAATAGCTGGAGCAGAAATTGAGGGCGCGGGGTCAGCATTTGTAACACGATCGCGTTCAAAACAACCTGTTTACCGCGTACGGACTGGAGTTCCCAGAAGAGATAAAATCCCGAGACACAAATGTCACGGAAACACTGTCAAAGAGCTGTCAAAGGCAACATTTTACAACAAATTTCTGGGGATTAATTCTTTCAAATTTCGTGCTTAGATAGTATGCAATGTGTAAACTGGAATCGCCGGGAAACTACATATATACGCACACGAACAAGTGTTAACCTGAGCGCAAAACTAACAGAGATGATTTAATTAATTTAGCCTGCATAGCAGCTTAGGCATCGTCGCTAGACGTTTAATATTGCCTCCACCAGGCTTTTTAATGGGGTTAGTAGGATGGTAGAATTTGGCAAAATAGGTACTGACTAGGGCATGGGGTCACCGTTAGGGTTTCATTCCCCCTCTACATGTATGTGTGCAAATGAACTCTACGGTGGATTAACTCCCTCAGCCAATTATTCTCTCTATATATTATTATATTTGGCTAAAATAAATTGTACTGTTTTTGAACCCTAGCTGTTAGTCTTGTGGAGAATACTGTTTGTAGTCTAGTGGAGGGCTCGAAACTAAAAGGTGGTCCAAAATATGGCCACTGACCACTAAAATCAGAATGTCAGCCCTTTTTCTTGTTTACCAGGCACACGTTCCGGCTTTTGGATCCGTGAAAGTCCCCCCCCCCCCAATTTCCTGTCTACTCTGCAATCATACTTTTATGCCTGGGAGTGAACATAAGCAAACTAAAGTTGACTTCAAGTTTTATTCATACAATGCTTCACAAAAACAGGTTGGGGACAGTTCATCCTCACTTCGGGACAATCAAGATTTATTTTTGGGACAGTGCTGGGACAATGGCAAGAAAAGTTAATTTCGAGGCCTGTAGTGGAGGGTATTGTTATGAATTGAGGCTACGCGACAATAGCTCGATGATTAGACAAGGGTCTTCCCCCACGCGGAAGACGTGGATTAAGAACCCGCCAGACTGACGTCTCAGGAAAACCAAAGGAGTAGGAAGTTTGTCACAAACACTGCCAATCACTGTCAGGGCCAATGCCGCATATTGATTGGTTCCACACAGCGTATACAGTCAAAACAAATTCAAGGCTAACCAACCACGGGGGATGTTACAAAGGGCTAGGACAAGGACGATAGAGTCCAAGCATTGCCAATCTGTAATACGTCGATACATGTACAAAGTAGTCAAATGCCAGGCTTAACATTATTAGGTAACTTCAGTGCAATTTTTTTACGTCAATAGAGGACTACGTGGAATTCAACATAATCCAGAACACCGGGTTTTCATTATGTAAGTTTTCTTTAGCCACCGTACTATCGTCTAGTTTTCAGAATCGTCTAGTTTTCAGGAATTTTATTCTATTTTCGGATGAAATAAAAGAGATAAATTCGGGTTTTAAGAAAACGAGGAGTGTCAAATGGTGAATAAGCTGTTGCGTAAATCATGGGTACATATATATGACGTGACATTTTCCCTCAACCGATTCGCAACCAAATTGAGCAAAGAAAACAACGCTATCATACCGTTCACAGTCTTTAGATTTGGAACCAAATTGAGCACAAAAAACCGCTATCATACTGTTCACAGTCTTTAGATTTGGAACCAAACTGAGCACAAAAAACCGCTATCATACTCAACCCTCCAGACTAAATTTTTAGCCTAGGCGCACATGCGCTCCTAGCCTCAAAAAGTTAGGCGCACAGACAAAAATCTGGTCGCGCAGACAAAAAATCTGGTCGCGCAAAGTAAAATCGTAAAATAAGTTCTATTATCACAGTATCTAATATATTCTATCGCCAACCTTTGCACAATTTGTTGTAATACATCATAATAATTACAAATTTGCATACTACATGTATGTTATACATGAGCAGTACAATACTGTCAAATTTCTTTTAACTTTAGAATTACACGTAAATGTATCATTATAAATTATAATGATTACTATGTCATGCTACTGTTGATAAATATGTTTCAAGAACAATCATGTTATCAAGATTTTTTTTTAATCACCAGTCAAAGTCCACTCACTACTTCTGTAATTTTTCATGTAACCAAGAAAAAATACCAAAGTCCGCTGCCATGAATAGAATACCGGAAGAAAACAAAACGTTTTTTAATATAAATAGTGCGTCATTCATTCGCTCGTTATCGCGAGATTTATCGGCAGGTAAAGAAAAACAATACAGTCTTCCGCACCGAAAAACCTGTAACAAAATGGCGGCGGTTTGTTTACCTCTGTGTCGAACGATCGCAAGTGAAGTTTTCGATGGATTTTTGCGGTTCCAGGCGGAGCAAAAACAAGTAACTGTGGATGAAAAATAGTGATAAAACACCGGTAATCTATTGAGTTGTTTGTTTTGACGTCTATTTCTTTGTTCTATTTGAAAATTTACGTATATATCAGCACATGTTCCTCCGAGCTCCACGATTTTTCTACTGACGCCCGCGGTTACTAGCTACGTCTAAAGCTAACATTTTCGAAATAACAGGTGCTCCTAAATATAACTTACATCTAAAAGGGAGGTAATCTGTCAATTACAAAGGATCAGCTACGATGATTTAGTAAATCTACCGTATGTTTGGTGTCAGGAGTTCTGTCAATCGGCATGAGACGGGACCGCTTTCACTTGGGTGTCGGCAAAACTCGGCATCTCAAAGAAACTAGCTTGTGCCCGGGCACCCTTGCTTTCCAAACAACGTAGTCGCGGGAAAGAACATGTTTGCCCCGTAAAACCTTGTATTTTCAACGCTGTTAACAATACCCTTATTTTGAAAAATGTACCGTCCAAGTATTAGTAAAATGAGAAAGTACCGGTCGGATTTTGAGGCGAGATATGGCAGCCAATAATTTAGGCGCACAGCGGATTTTCTACCGGTCGCGCAGTGCGCGACCAGAGTAAAAAGTTAAGTCGCATTTCGTAATTATTGGTCGCATATGCGACCAAAACGGTCGCAGTCTGGAGGGTTGATACTGTTCACAGTCTTTAGACAAAATCCTGTGACAAAATACGGGATCAAACTCTTTCTCCAAAACCCTTACACCGCCGGCTGATTACTCTGTCTGGCCTTGAAGATTGATTTGGACTTAGAGTGAATCTTTTTCCCTTCCAAACGCCTGCGTCAGTGTCAGACGAGTGAACGTCATTCCTCTTTTGTGAACTAAGCCCGACGTAGCCGGCTGAAAAGCCCACTTAACGACTAATGGACGTCGGACCTATAATTTGGGTAGCCTCCGTAGCAGGCTTATAGAACTGGGGGTTTGGTGGTCTCCGGCTGTTTTCTGATTAGCCCAGTTCTAAACAAACGGGGGTAATTCAACCAGGCCGGCTATGTTGTCTATATGCAATCAGAAAAAAGCACATAAAAGCTACCAAAGACCCTGAAGATCCCCAAATTGAAACCCCCAGTTTTTGGCATGCTATGGAGGCTATAATTTGAGGCTGACGTCAGCTGCTATACACACCCTGTCAGTAAAAATCACCCTGGGCAGTCAAGGTTTGAAAGAGGTTAGGAATTGCGTGACCCCGAGAAAATTGCTACTGCGGTTTTTATAATATTGATGCCTTTCCTTTTTAGAAATGAGCTCAGCTATTACAAAATCTGAGTTACAAAAATATGTGTTCTCTCGTACGTTGACTTTTTAAGCTGACCCAATGAAAATATGAAGGAAAGAAAGTAGGTTAAAAACCTAGATTTTTAACCTCCTCGGTAATACTGTTAACTCCTTGTATGAAAAGAAAATCGTACTATATATATCATAGCTAGCTAAGTATACAAGTAACTCCTTATTTATATTGTCTGTATCATCTATTTGTGCTACAGGCTGGAGAAGCTAGACTCGGCCACAGACTTCAAGGTGATCCCGAAGACGGGTGAGGGTGACGCCGTGGTGTTCTCGGCGGAGAGCGGGGATGACCGCGAGGCCTGGCTGGACGCCCTGCGGGGGAAGTCTCGCCTGCCGCCGGGCTCCAGCACCATGCCCACCCTGGCCGAGGCCGAGGAGGACGAACCGGCGGAAGACGACGACGACGTGTTCGGGGAGGAGGCGCAGGTGGCCCCGAGGAAGGCGCCGCGGCGGAGACCCTCCAGAGAGTACCGCCGTAGGAGCAGCCTCAGGAGCCTGGGACTGAGGCTAAGGAGACAGGACGACTTCCCAAAGCCTTGGTGACAGGCTATTCCATGTGGGAATTCCTCCTTGTAAATATATAACGTTTATGTAAATATTGCCGACAGCCATATGTTTCTAATGGTGCTTTTGCTCAACTCTTGAACTTTGTGAAACGAGACAGCAATGTCAAGGCTTAGATGGGTGTGTAGCTTCTTAAGTTTTGACAAGGAAGATATAAGAAAGTTGTCTTGTAGTGGCTGTTTCAGCAGATGTATATCAACGAGAATATCATAATTGTTAGCCATGTAAAGTTGTGAAACTCTCTACCTAGGTTTTACATTGTTTTGTGGAATTACATGTACATGTATGTGTGTGTATTCTGGCTACAATAGGCATTCGACTTCATAATTGATATCTATATAAGCAGTATTTCGCAGTAATATTTTTTCAGCACTGTAAAAACGTGGAACGCAAGTCTAACCGTTCTGTACGTATCAATAACTATGTAATATTCTTGCATAGTTTTAAACTAACAAAAATGGATCTGGTGGAAATTTGTAACGTTATTAAATGACAGTAAACTTGTGCCAAAACTGCATCAAATCGAATTTCCAAGCATATGTTGGGCTCTTTTTTTTACGTATTTTGGGTGTTACAAATTACAAAAGATATAAGTAGCTAAGTGACAAAAGAAACAACCGTGCCAAAAGAAAAGACGGACAAAACACACTAAAGTCATGTGAAATAAAACGAGCCCTAAACCACACTGCATCTGCTTGGAGATTGGAAAGAGATTGTATGATGCAATGTTTCTTTGTATTTGTCAAGACTTTGCAGTGCCATCTTAGAAAGTGGTCGTACACACCGTGCATCCTTCTTCCACGAAAAAGACATGTTTGACAGGCGGCTTATCTTTAAGCCCAGTCTTGTCGCGACTTCCTTGTCGCACACTTCAGCTTAAACCGGAAAAACCCGTATATAACATGTACGTCCTGGAACTGGGAACGTGACGGTGCTGCGTAAACATCCAGCAGTGTTCTGGGAAGGAGAACTAGACAAACACACGCACGGCACGTGATGTTCACGTGATAGGTTTCGAAATCTGTATTTAAGGAATGATGATGTTCTTTATGAATGTTGAAGTATATGAAGGTCTTGTCTTGCCCGTTTTAAGATATTTATGACCAGATTAAAGTAAAGTTGAAACACAATCTTCGGCTCTTTCCTACTTGTGAGCTGTACACGTGGAGGTATGGTAGGATATATATCATGATCATGAGTCAGAATTTGAACTTTAGCCTAGGTGATTTAATTAACTGTTTGCACATGTGGTTTTGGTAAATAAAATTTGTAACCGCAGATTCCGCCCTACCCCTAAGCTATTAAATCAGGTCTTAGTCTCCAACAAATTAACAAAGCGGGTTCAAATATAGCTAAATTTAGCCGAATAGGAAGAATAATTGGTCGGTGGGGTTTGGCCAGGCCTAGAATTCATTTGCCCGTGTGATGAACTAACTAATTAACCTTCTCGTGGGATATTTGCCCTTGCCGATTATTCTTCCCTTTTTGGCCGAATTCTACGATCAGTGACATGTGGTGAGGCTGCATAGCTAGCTAGCATTACAGAGCGCTGTATCTGTATCTGTATAGCCGGTATAACCGCCTTTCGGCGTAACACACCAGCTTCGCAGGCACGCGGCGCGGCGGCAGCTGGCTATATTACACCGATCGACTTGTTACACCTAACCCTTGAACTTCTCTAGACATTGTTTAAAGCTATCTAATGATAATGCCCCTACTGTACTTGCTGACAGTGAGTTCCACTCTGCGATAGTTCTAGGAAAGAAAGAATTCTTGAACACCTCAATCCTTGGTTGATAACTCTGGTACTTGAATGCGTGGCTATTTCTTGTTCTCTTCTGGGCTGGTATTAGGTACTTAGTAGTTGGGACGTCCACCAGTTTATTAGTAATTTTGTACATCATGCATAGTCTGGACATCTTTCTTCTGTCTTCTGCTGTAACATTCGTCATACGACAGGTTTACATCACAAGAGCTATCTACCAGCATGTCTAGATCGCGAGATATCCAAACCAGAGGTTCCGCTGCAGTGCCATAACAAGCCGGCAGGGGGCCCGAAATCTAATCATTTCGAGATCTTATGAACACCTACCCACCTACCAAGTTTCTTGACAATCCATTAAAAGCTTCTTGAGTTAACGTACTAAACCACACACATACATACACACATACAGACACACACACAAAGGCTACGGAAAACATAACCTTCTTGGCGAAGGCATTGGAACAGCGGACGCCGGACGGCCCTACGACCCTAGCTACTGCTCGCCTAAACCGGCAGCCATCAGAGCACGACAGAAAACATTCTACAGTACGTAAGGCCACACTGACTTAATTTTATGGATGACATCCGAGCGCGCATTGATTTTCACCTGTTCCTGAGGCTCTTGCCTAGGTCTAGGCCTGGGTTGTAGACGGAGCCGGTGGTAACCCTGGAGGATGGCACCCAGGCTACCGAAGGTCCAAGAGTCAAGAACTCAGTACATACGTACAGTGCCGATTCATAAATTCCGCAAAAAGCCAGCATGTGCCGGCCTGTCGTATACGTCACTATGTAATGCGCCAAATTCACAATACTAGCTTTGTATTCCTGTGGTTTAGTAACATTTTTATTTTTGGCCATTTTTTTTAAAATTCGCCCGCGCACACTAGTTTGGGGGTCTTCAGAGGATGTCATTCATAAAATTAAATCGGTGTCAAATAACCAGTAAAAATAAGAACGGAATGGTGGTCTTCAACCCGGAGCCTGGAGTGGAGGCTATAATTGACAGGACATTAGCGGATGTTGGAGTTATGAGTTCCGCCCGCCATGGTACTTAGTGTGCCCGACCTTTTGAACTCCACAGCTAGGTAAACGCTTGGGCGGAAGCCAGACGTCCGTCACAGGGGTAGTCCCTTTTACTCTTAATTAAAGTAAGGCCATACTGATTTGATTATATGGATGACATCCACGCGCGCATGAATTTTCGTTCTCAGTGGGGTCGTGAGGCGTAGCGGCAGCGTTCTCGACTCGGAACCAGAGGCCCCGGGTTCGAGTCCTGTCATCATGCCACCGATCTTGTGCCCTTGGGAAAGGCACTTTACACGACTTGTAAATGAGTATTGTACTGTCCCTGTGTTGTTGGCGGCATTAATATAAGTTGAAAAAACTTGAGTGTGCCGTCATTACGTCTTGTGATTGCATGTTTCGGAATATGTAAAAAAAAATCGTTCGTCCCCCCCCCCCAAAGAATTTGACCATACATACTGTAAATCGTACAAAATGAGCAAATATATGTCGTATGTAGCATGCAAAAAAAGTATTGGAAAACGATACTATTTAAATGTCATAGAATGCCGAAATCGAGTCAGGAAAAGAAGAAAAAAAAAGAAATAAAAATGAAAAGTCTATTATTATTCACCATACCATACCCCACCATACACCATACCATGTGTGTTTAGTCATTTTGTCAACTTTTATGACCACTTAGATTTCATAATAAAGGAAACGTTTTTTTTGCTAGTCAGTTTTGGGGTTCCCAGAGGATGTCATCCATATAATCATATCAACATGGCCTAATCTCCAAGCAAATGTTACCGTACGGTCGACATTCTGACTGCCGGGTTTCTATGGCAGCTAGCTATAGCTACTTGCCCGAATTGGCTATCAGAAAACCTTACGATCTGCCACCCCTACATCTGCTTGGAATTTTATTTTCAACGCCTGTTGCTTGTAAAAACAGTTCCATTGTTACTAAATGTAGGACGTGGGACGAAGAGAAAAATTGAAAACATTGGCAGATATCGTATCTGTATCTGTATCCGTATCTGTATAGCCGGTATAACCGCCTTTCGGCGTAACACACCAGCTTCACAGGCACGCGGCGCGGCGGCAGCTGGCTATATTACACCGATCGACTTGTTACATCTAACCCTTGAACTTCTAACTCTAGACATTGTTTAAAGCTATCTAATGACAATGCCCCTACTGTACTTGGTGACAGTGAGTTCCACTCTGCGATAGTTCTAGGAAAGAATGAATTCTTGAACACCTCAATCCTTGGTTAATAACTCTGGTACTTGAAGGCATGGCTATTTCTTGTTCTCTTCTGGGCTGGTATTAGGTACTTAGTAGTTGGGACATCCACCAGTTTATTAGTCATTTTGTACATCATGCATAGTCTGGACATTTTTCTTCTGTCTTCGTAGTAGACAATGGAAGTCTCATTTAATCTGACTTGGGTAACAATGTTGACAGTAAGACATGCATGGTTTCCTTGAAATTTGGAAATTGTTCTTTCTCGCTGACGAGTGGTTTGCTGTAGATTATTGTGTGTGGTCTTTGTCATGTGTTGTATTTACGGATCTGTATTGTGTATTTAGTGCATGGGTCGCCTTTGTCGTAAAACGGCAGATGTTACAGATAGTAAAGTTTGTTGTGAAAATAAACTGGAGTACGTGACATGTTCCACGTCCCGGCTTCCAACAACATGACTGTAACATCCGACAACAACCTAGCGACCATTTCCAAGAACTACAATGTGTTACTCCTAATAAATAACATTTACTTATTATGTATCATATAATTTGCCATTTGCCGCGTGCCTTTAAAGACACCCGAAGCGATTTCAGGGTTGTAGCACATTTTGTGGCGTTTGAAATAGCTAAAAACAAATTACTTGATCATGACGAGTCCCTACATTTTTGGTACCCCAATTAATACTCGTCGCTAGGACAAGCCTACTACTAGTGTGCGAAACAAGCAACCATTTTCCATCAGCAACATTAAATTTTGCCTCACTGATATCAGTATGCAACATAGACTTACTACACAAAAAGAATGACCAGAATATTGTCATTAAAAATCCAATTTGGTCGCCCTAAAATATGCCTTTAGTATGTTGTATTCCACCGAATTCGGCTGGATCTTACACCATCAAAGCAGCTAAACAATTTTCTGAAGAATTTGGATCAGCAGTTTAAGACGGCACCTTTGTCTGGGGTCAGGAGTCGTGTTAAACAGGCGACGTCTGGCGGGAAAGTATTTTCTATCGCTGACAAACATGTGCACAAACGCCGACACACCTGCCTTGTGCAAACAGAGTCCCGCAGACGGCGGTATCAAATACACACTGTTCAACAAAGGCGCCCTAAGAGTTTTATATTAACAGCTAGCGATCAATCTGGATTTCGAATGACGCAAAGAGTCAATCAATTTTTTACCGT